TGGGATGCTGGGGCTGCTGTCCCTGGGGATCTGGGGCTGCTGTCCCTGGGGATGCTGGATCCAATGTCTCTGGCACTGTGCTCCTGCACCCAGCGGGACCCGGCATCGATACTGTTGGGGATTCTGGCACAGAGGGAAGATTTGCACTCCCACCCCTTGCACAAGTAAATAACTGGAGCAAGGCTGGGGAGGGTGTCTGCCTCTGACGCCCTGCCTCCTGCCACCTGATCTTGCAGCCATCCAGCCCTTCCCTCCCTTCCCAGCCAGCAGCAGGGAGAGCCAGCAAGCCCCAGCTGGAAAGGGAACAGCGTGGCCGAGACAGAGTGAGTACAATGATTTAAATGGAGCGAGTTGGACAGTTGTCAATGGAAAGGAAATTAGTTGGAATCTAAATCTAACTAAAAGAAACGACCCAGATTACTGACACTGTAAATTGGATTAAAATGAAATCCTACAGGAAAATCGATGGGAAGCGATAAGCGAGCAAGTCAAAATGACAGCAGAAAGAGGCAGACGCTCCCTGAGAGCTTATTCAAGAGAACCAGTCAGAAGTAGAAAAGAAAATTTAATTGAGCCAATCCAAATCTAAATGGTAGAAAAATAAGGGGGAATTGGAAGAGATTAGAGAGAGAGCCCAAGGAAATTTTTTTTAAAGAAGGTTACAAATCAGTACACAAAACAGAAGATAGGAGAAAAATTAAAGAAAGGGAAAAGGCAATTTTAATTATGTCTTAAAGCAAGTGAAATTAAGTGCCTGGGAATAGGTTTTTATAGGATGCATCTGTTTACATGGAAGTAGACTTTAATTGACATGAAGATGTTGTTTTTCCGAAAACTGGCTGCTTTTTTTTACCTGTGTGTGCTGTTACAAAGGGTCTGAAATGCATGCATCCTCCCTCCATGCTCTGAAAAACACCATTTTTTCCTCTTTCTCTTTTCCTTTGCAGGTTCATCCCTTACAGAGGAGCTGCTCAAGGCAGAGGGCAGCTGGAGCTGCCTGCCTCCTGCCAGCCTCCCACGAGGGGCAGGGAGCCTCCCACGAGTGGGAAAAGCTTCACCTTTCCTTGGCTACACCTACAGCACCACTGGATGTCACTGTTGATTCATAAAAGACAAAAATCTTACTGTAATCTTTTTGACAGATAATGTTTAGTACATAAATATATACATGTATTTATAGTCTCTTTCCCACAATTTCCTGCAAAAGGACTGAAATTACAGAAAGTCTGTGCAGCCTCGTGGCTCTCACATTTTTGATGACTATTTTTATAGAGACTGCGTTTATGGGTCCTTTTGTGGCACTCCAAGAGGCATCTCTTCCATAAAAGATTGCTTTCTGCTCTGGTAGACGTAGAGTGGGGCAGAGCTGCCACAATATATTTCAGTTGTTTTGGGGTTTCTTTTCTTCCATTTGTTTTGTTTCCAGGGAATTATTTCAACTCCCCTTGGCTGGACTGAGTGCAGCAGTGTTGGGGCAGAGGTGTGAGCAGCAGATTCTGGTGCTGTCTGTGGGAGCCCAGAGAGCTGGGCACTGCCAGGGCAGTGCTGCCCATAAATCAGGATTACCCTGGAGGTGTCTGCTTCCCTCCACTGTTACAGAGTGTGCAGAGACTGACCCTAAATCTCCTGGGCTGAGAGTCAGTGAGAAAATCAGACCCTATTGCTTACAGAGGAAAAAGCTCTTTTTTCTTCCCCTTTGGGTGCCTGGGGTTGTATTTAGCTGGCCAAATGAAGACAAATAACTCTCTTTAGAGCCAGTGAAGAGGAACGGGCAATTCCAGGAAAGTGATTCATCCCATCTGAAAGAACACTTGTAATAGACAGGTGAGGTAGATAAAGCCTTTTAGGCATATATTTCTGCCATGAAACACTGTAGAAACCTTCAGTGACCAGTCACACAAGAAGATTCCTACCCATTTTTCCTGGTATAAGCACTTCTACAGCAGGATTTTTGTGAACCAGCAGGGAGACCTTTCCTACATAATCTCCACTTCATTATTAATCATCTTTGAGGTGACCTTCTACACATTTTTCTAATGCTGAACATGCCAGAAAGGGTTCACGATGCCCAGTGACTCATCCTGAACTGCCCATCAGGAGCTCTGCTCTCTCCATCCAGGGACTGAGAATGAATCAGGAGAGCCCTCAACAGCCCTCCTGAAACACACCAGGAGCTGATCCAACAATTTGGCGGTATGGACAGGGCACTGCTGTGCCCAGCAAAGCTTCTGGTGCCATTTCATAATCAGTGCTGCAGCTTAAGGGGAAAAAAAAATCTGTTGGTGGCAGCTACACAGACTTCTGTTTCAGCCCCCAGCTCCCAGAGGTTTATCTGGTACACTGAGGACAACAAAACTGTTGTTACATATGACAGGACATGAAATGCAATGCTGAGAAAGTGGTCCTCTATTTGCATGAAAATAGCTCAGCTCTGTAAACTGCTCTCCCTCTCACATCCATTTCAAGCAACAGTGTTATAGATATAACACTATAACGGTGCATAACTAGATATAACAGTATATAACTAAATATAACACTATAACAGTGTATAACTAGGTATAACAGTATATAACTAGATATAACACTATAACAGTGTTATAGCACTCTTTAAGACATCACTGACCTTCCCCAGCATAACTGGTCCATGCAATGACACAGCAGCTGTGAACCTCTCTACAGAAGTAAAGTGTGAGAGTCCAGCTCCTCTTAAGGAGCTTTTAAGAGGTCATGCAAGTCTAAATAGGGTAAATAAGGAGAATAAGAAATTTCTGGCACTTTCCACTGTGAGAAATCACGTAATGGGAGAAAATGAAAAGAAGAGACAAAGATTGAGAATAAATGCCCAATTATTCCAGTGAGGAGTTAACATATTTGGGGCTAAAGGTCATGAATGCAGACTGGCCTAAGAGATGTGCCAATTTTAATTAAAAATTATGCTAAATCAACAAGGAGGAATAATGTGTGCTGTGCAAATTGATCAGGAGACTCTTAAGTGCCAGCTGTTTCTAGCAGCACTCTTTTAATTTCCTATCTATAAATAAAGGAGTATGGAAAGACTGCTGTCATTTAATACAGCACAGCAAAATGTCTGAATCACGCAAAGTTAGTTTCAGGGAATTGAAATGATAAGACTTTTCTAAAAATAAAGCTTTATAGAGTAACTGCTCAGAGTGGGGCTCCCCTGGGGTGTGATAGGCAATTCCTCCACTTCTCCACGGCACAAACCTCTGCCACCTCCTGCGTCTTTGAGCTACTGCTACCTACGGTGACAAAGGCAGGTAACTTGTCTCCCCGGTGTGTGCACACGCACACCAGCTGCATTTTCTAGGTCTTATTTTGACGGCCTCCGGGAGGTTTGTACCTGCCGGGCAGCCTCGGGCCCTCCGTGGAGGTGCGCAGTGCCC